GGGGGGGAGGGGGAGAGGAAAGAAAAGCTTCAAAAGCGTACACATTCATCGACGTGAAATGGAAGTAAAATATGCATATGACCGAGTCGCGAGTATACATAATTAAACTACATACACACAGTGAGATACAACAGGGCACTGGGAGGAGGAAAAGAATGCTTAAGAAGAAAGAACAACATAGGGCCATGAGAAGACGTAAATGAGAAAATCAAAGGGAGGGGTGTAGACGATCGAGGGTGGATTGAAGCGCGTGGATCCAGTCCCCCACAGCAGGAATTGGCCTCGCGTCTGTGAGGTTCAGCAGAGTTACGGCAGCCTCGGCTAACATAGGAGCAGAGGCACCACGGCCCCTAAAAGAAGAGAAGGCAGTGAAAGTGGAATTATGCGTAGGAGTTGAGGAGGTCGTGCCAACTGAGTTCTTTCTCGAAAGAGTGAAGAAATGACGCCTGGAGTCGCGGCGTGGTGGAGTGGGTGTTAACGGAGTTCCTGTCTCAATGCTTCCTCTAGACTTGACTTCTCCAGTATTCAGAGGTCGTAAACGGTAGGTTTTACGAAAACCTGGATGAGTGAGGAGAAAAGAAGTCTCATCCACAGTCCCGTTTCGATGGCGCGCCATACCAATGCTTGGTAGACAGTCTACACATCCACCTTCTATTGCACATTTCTGAAAGGGTTGAATTTGACATCGACTTGTTGAGAACTACAAGGGAAATTTAAATCAAGTAGGCAAAACAAAACAGGGGGGGGGTCAATCAAGGTGATACTACTGGAAACTCACGTCTTCACGACGCTTCGGTTTCTTTATGATCGCGTCAAAATAAACCATATAGGCAGAGGACCAGCCCTCCATGACAACGAGAGCAGACCAAAAAGGTTTCCAGGAGGCATTTCGTGAGTGCTTCTGCTGAGGTAGGGAAATATTTGAAGCAGGGGAGGCACATTGGCTATCTTCACTGAAAATACTCGCTGTCATTAGACCCGATCCGCTACCTGAATTGTCCATACCCGGGGGTATGAGACGACCGACGGTTTTCCGAAACAGGGGACCCTCACAGAGCACACACGCTGGTCGCATTGCGGTGATGAAAGGGAAATTCACCGGAGGCCATTGGGAAATGTCCTCTTTTGATCGAGATGAGGAAGAACAATTGAAAGACGTGTGTGAATCTGCAAGAAAAGCGGCTACAGTAAGCCAAATTCTCAGGCTTCTGACAGCTTAAACATACATAACCCTGTATACCCAGACATGTTGCCAGCACGCAGTTTGACCGTGTCTGAACTCCTGCACAGGTGATGTTTATTTTACCGTCAAAAGGGGTGTGCAATAGACTTACCTCCACGTGGTGCATCCTGGGCAACGAATACTTATACAACAAAAAAGGCAGTTGACTTATGACTTCAAACTACTATGACCCGACTATTTGTCATATTCGACCCCTTCCACAGTACTTACCTATTCTCCGCCTTTGTATCTGTCTGTCTCCTTTAAATCTGTGAATCATTATTCTGTCCCCCTCTCGTCTTTTTGTTCCTTTGATGTTTCTCCTCCTCTCTATGAAGCCTGAAGTCAGCTAAAGGGCTAATGATAACTATCCAACATGCCTACCATTTGAAATAAATAAATAAATTTTGCCATCAAAATACGAAAACGCCCTGCATCAACAACAAGATACTAAAGGTCAAGGAAATTGTCTCGTTTGAATGCATGAACTTGGTGTAGAAATAGCTGCTAGGAATGGAGACTACTGGTAAACATCTGACTGAATATGAACATAATTGGGATTAAAGGATTAAGAAACCGATGGTGTAAAATTCCACTCAATTAGTCTTTAAACTCTACCATGGCTTGGATATTAGGCAAGTCAGGCAGTAAGGACGAAGATTACAAGTCACTTTGAGCTTAAATACCCCCCCCCCCAACCTCTTGTCAACCAGAAACCTCAAGCAACTTTTACCCCACTCTAAGAGCAGAGAGATAGGAAAAAATGTATAATTCGACTAGCTGTCATGCTGTCGGAGATCCTCTTCAAGTACCGAATAAAGGTGTCCCCCTTCCAGATGGTGTCCTTTAAAATGTGTGGAGAAAGGGGATTGGCAAGAACTCACCATCATCCACTGCAAACTTTTCCAAGATACGCTTCAAAATCAAGGCACAACCAGCGAGGGGGGGGGGAGATATTCTCACCATAAATAATAATCTCATGGCTGAGTTGTCAAAATTGTTTTCAACAACACACACACACACACACACACATGGACGCTTCGACTCACCAGAGCTGCTCCGTGCCTCAGTGACAGCCGAAGAAGGGCTCTGAGTTATGGCGAGATTAGCCACAGCTAAGACAGCAGAGTAGATGTCATTATTCTGGTCCGCGGAGGAGATTTTGGGAGATTTTGAAGGGACGGAGGGGTTTGATGTGCTGACGGGGATGATTGGCATTTCAACAGTCGATGGATCAATATCTGTTGTGGTTCTTACAGATTTGTTGAGGTGGTTAGCAGAAGAGGTGGAGTCACTAAAGACAAAAAAGGTCTAGAATGTCACAACGAAAAGTCGAATTCGGTATTTCATTTTTAAAATATCCAGCTACCCCAGTTCTACTATGTTATATGATAACTTAAATTGCTTAATATCAGGTAGGAAAATTCCGTTTTTTTTTCAAATTTCGAAAGAAAATGAAAAAAGCAACTTTAAGTGGCGGTCATCATAATTTAATCTACCAATAAACGCGCTGAATTTAGGAAAGTGTACAACCCGAAATCAAAAGTCAAATGAAGTAAGACGCCTTGACACCTTAACGCTGCTCTCGGCATCTTTTGAACCCACGCTCCATTTCATCATCTCTTCGAGTCGAATAGTATTGTCATATTCGCACATTCCCCGCTGCCTTATAAACAATCAGGAAAAATTGTAACAATGTGAAACATATGCCCAAACTGAAGTGGAATAGGATAAGAACTGTTAACTACAAAAAGCCAGAATGCTAGACGTGAAGGCTTTGAAGACTAAGGACCCCCCCCCCCCAGAGCCATTGAACTTCTGGACCCAATGCAACCACGGTTTGGAGTCGCATGAGAGGTTGAATGCGTCAATTAGGAGTTTTCATCGACCACACAATGACAGAGAGATGGATTTGGTTGTGATTGGTTAAAATGACTACAGGCAAGGCCAAATGCAAAGTGATATGGTTTGCGTGGATTTAATACCGAGAGAGAGGGGGAGAGAGTGCGAACAACTTTGAGCCCATTGAGAAATCAAAACAATAAATGAGACAACTGACTCGACCTGATTTGCATTCGAAGAATTAAAAACTCTCGAACTAGGCTGGCTGTCTACCCCGAAATTGCAAAGTACAGAGACATTAAAAATACTAAGAACCCAAGCGCGCTAAAAGAAGTGCAAGCAGCGACATTCTCCAATTTTTCCACTGGAATCAGCTAATTCAACCGGCCATCCACATCATGACATGGGCACCTAGTCTGTGATAGTTGACTAGGCTGGCGTATACGTTAGCCACTACAACACCACCAACACACGTGGGAGCCCATAACGAATTTGCACGCAGTTTCAAATGAGTTAATAAAAATCTCAAAGAGGAGTAGTGGAGCTCAAATAAGACGGAGCTGACACACGTTAAACGCGAAAATTTATGATAGTTAACACTGGCTAAGCGAAATGTCCTAGGGTGCATTCTCTTGGCCAAGAGTAGAGGTCTACAATACGATATGTGCTTGGAACCACATCCATAGGACATTCCTTACTTGAGAAACTATATTCGAAGGAGTGAGAACTATCCTCCAAAGGCAGTATGAGAGACTTGATAACTTTTAATGAATATGTTGATCTTCGATCAGTTGATTTCCACCATACAACCTGTCCTGCAACTGCAAAGATTAGAGCAGAACTTAGATTAGTACACATCCTTCCACATCCGCATGAAAGAAAGTAAAATGTGGTGACAAGGGGAGGGGGGGGGGGAAGATAGAGGCATAAATCCTACCTGGAACTATCTAGTAATATCCACATTCAGGACTGAGATCCAGAAACCTCACTTTATTATATCGTTTTTGGGGTGTGCGATGGACTTATCTCCACGTGGTGCAGCCTGGGCAACGTAAACTCATACGGCGAAAATGTCTATTAAGCGGCAGTTGACTTCTGACTTCAAACTGCCATGATCCCACTGTATGACATATTCGACTACTTTCACAGTACTCACCTCACCTCATTTCTACCTTCGTTTTTGAAACGCTCTTCTGTTCCCTCCCCACCCCCTCTCGACTTTCTTTCACTTTGATGTTCCTTCCCTCTGTGAAGCCTGAAGTCAACTAAAGGGCTAATGATAACTTTCACAGCGCCTGCCATGTGATGTTATATATATAGCAAATGAAACTATTTTCTTCTCTCTACCTGAATGCAACCTTGAGTCTTATTTGAGCTTTGCTCAGGAATGATTAAATGAGTCAATTTGTGGTGGCCAATAGCTCAATAGAATCGATTGACGCCAAGCTCTGTATACCGTGGGTTGATTTCAACTGAGTTTGGCTGAGACTATACGACTAACATTCGAATATTGGTAAGTTTATATCTTAACTTGCAGGGGGTGTGTGATAGACTTACCTCCACGTGGTGCGCCCTGGGCAACGTATTGGCAAAAAAGTCTATTACCTACGCCCTGGGCAACGTATACTCATACGGCAAAAAGTCTATTAATAGGCTGTTGACTTCTGACTCCAAACCACCATCACCCCACTGTATGGACTACTTTCACGGACTCACCTCACCATTTTTCTACCTATGTGTCTGCCTCTTTTACATCTTTGAATCTCTCTTCTGTCTCCCCCCCCCAAGACTTTTTTCACTTTGATGTTCCTTCCCCTCTATGAAGCCTGCAGTCAACTAAAGGGCTAATGATAACTATCAAAACGCCTGCCATTTGATATAAATAAATCTTTACTTGCTTATATTCTAAAATTTTACGAATTTACAGGCTACTTCCTGACTTTTCAAAACATGGGCAAATTGACCACAAATAATGAGGACACCTGTAATTAATTAGCTAATTAATAAGCCCCGAAAAATTAGGGGAAGGATTTCCTAGTTATCCAAATGATAAAAAAATGAAATTTGTAATTTCGTAAAGCGAGCTACTCGAGAATTTCTTGAATCTGCTCGTTTTATTATTTGTAGCCTATTTTTAATCATTTTCAGTAGCATCTCTGCAATGAAAATTGCCACATTATTTCTGCCAACTGTAAGTGATAATAGTAATTAGCACATTTTACACAGAACTATATAGTGGAATCTTTGGCTCACAAAGTATGAGTTCCTCTGTGGACACGAATTTTCCAGTCGCTAACAATGCCGAAATCCTAATTAAGATGTTTATTTTAATCTAATAATGAAATGTTTGTCCTTTTGACATTTCGTTTGGCCACTGGGAGAGGATAGAGCCAAA